ATCTTTCGTGTGTGACATGATGAGGCCTGGGGTCCCGGGTCACGTGGATTTCACGATCATCCGATTTCACCATCATCTGCGACAATTAATAAATACTATATACAATAGTAATAAATTAATAATAATTTCTAAATACTGTACTAGTCGAAGCTTTTAAATGACAAATAGCAGATATGATAAGAGAAAATAAAAGACAAAAAACATCTGATTGATGGTGTTATTGTTGTAAGTTATATATTTTTACTATATATATAAATTTATAATTCCTAAATAAAATAATAGAATTTTATCTGCCAAAAGTTTTTGTCCAATTTTAAATTATATTTTAAAAGCTGTTTATTTTTCATAGATAGAATCAGTTTGAATTTACTATATATATAGTTTAAAATACTTTACAACTTAACCAGAATTAAATGTTTACAGACGAAGTTTTATATCTTTGTAATTAACCCTATCCAAGTAAATCTTACTTAGAAACAAATCTCAATCTAGAAAAATAGTTATAAGTTTTTATATAAAGTGCACTAACCTTCCTCTGCAAAGTTAGTACCGATTAACATTTAATGAATAATTTAAAAAGATTGATTGAAACTTTGAATCTAAAGCATGATGGCCTATGGTTATAGACTCTTTTTTATTATGTATACAATAATAATGCTATCCCTTAGTCCATATTCAGGGCAAATTTGCTCTGAATTTCTGATTCCTGGCAAATTTTCTATACCACCTCCAAAATTTATTAACAATAGCCCCTATTGCTTATATCACCATGTACACATACATCACTGTAACACTTAAGTTGATACATCTTTGCTGTAGATAATAACAGTAAGATTTAATAACTATCTAAAAACTATTTTTTAAAAATTTGAATAAGTAAAAAGCTATTAGTAATATTAAACACTTTAATTTTAATCTACCTGTAAGCTATTTTTATTAGAGAATCATTTAGCAAAATAAAAGAAATAAAAAGAATTATATTTGTACTACTATTATTTAATTAAAAATTATGATAAGATAAAAAAAGTAATGCAATTTCTCAATGCAATTTTGTATATTAAATATAATATACCTCTTTTTTGTTCTAAGTAAGGTCCAATGGTTTTAAAGATTTTTATAGTAAAAAGTAAATAAATTTATTAAATATTTGTATTTTATTTAAGTTATAACCAATTTATAGTATTTATTATAGTTTGAGTGGATAAAAATTATTTTACAAAATTTGGGGCAAATTTGCCCCGAATTTACATACGGACTAAGGGATACCTAGTTATCACTGCTGCACTGTTGACGAAGCAACCTCCAGTAAATTTCTAAGAGAAACTTCCTATTATTTAAAATTATACACCATTATTTTAAATTCTGATTTCCTGTGATAACTAGGGTTAATTTTTGTGGTTAACTGTCTTTAAGAAAAATTCAACTGCTTTCTGTGATCGCAGTAAATCATATATATGCTGAATGTATAACTTTGTAACTTTGTATATATTCATACTTCTCTTAGAATTTTGGATAGTTTGTTTTAACAGACCTATCATCAAGTCTATTATAATTTACACAAAATTAAAAAAAATGAATGTATATTAACGTTAAAATAAAGTATAATTTTGCATGTTAAAATACCTAATCATGTCTATATATAATAATAATAATTTAAAAGAACCATTAAAATAAAGAACAGCTAATTAAGAAAAAAAAGGAGGATACGTTGAATAATCACTCCTCAGTGGTAAAATATTTATTATTATTTTCATTCACCACAGTTTTCAATAATTTTACTTGATTAGCCACATCCTTTAAAGCACTAAGCACAACTCCATTCCCTTTCACGAAGCCGTATATGTGATATTTAATTCCTACTTCTTCACAAAATTCTTTAACCAAAGGTTGGCAAGATCTCAAATTATGCCTTGGAATACGTGGGAATAAATGATGAATAGTTTGAAACTGTAATCCACCATGGAACCAATCCATCCACCAAGGACAATCAACATCCATTGTTGTTCTGCACATCTTGCGTGGAAATGATTCTAACGGACCATAATCAGCAGTTGACATACCAAAGTGTGAAAGAGTGATTTGCACATGTAAAATCATTGTTACCATATGAGAGACTAAGATGTAGAGAATGATGGTTGGAAGAGATGGAAGATAAGAAAGTAGGTAAGAAAACCAACACCAAAATAAGATCATTGAAGATATTTCTAAATTTCTAAAAATTAAATTTTTTTCACTAGATAAATGATTTATTGATAAAGCATAAAGATTAAATCTGCCAAAACAAAGTATAATGTAATATAAATAGTGTTGATAAGATACGAAAAATCTAGCGAAACTGTCAAAATAAAGAGTTCTTTTATAATAAGACGAATAAAGGTCTTTGAAAAGTTTAGTTGTTATAGCGAAAAATGGTAAATGCTGAATGTCGGGATCATGTTCGGGATGGTTAGTTACGATGTGATGAACATAATGATTTTTTTTCCACCACCCAATACTTAATCCTCCTAGAAAATCAGCTATAAATATTCCAATAAGATTATCCACATATAGACTGTGCGTGATTCCGTTATGCCCTGCATCATGAGCAGTAAACGCTAATTGATGCCAGAAAAGACCAAGACATATGGAACTTATAAAGTAATGAAATTTCGTTGTACCGTATATTACAAGATACCAAGCTGTTATTATTAGAATAATGTATCGAACTGTTTCATATGCATAATTCCAGTAATTGCAATCGTACAATCCACGTTCTTTAATTTTTGATTCCAATCGTCGAAAAGCCATTGATATTGACTTTTCTTTAGCCAATGTTAACAATAATTCTGGTTCGTTTGCTGATGTTTGTGAGTAGATTATATTTTCTTCCGAATCTCCAGGGCCATATTCTCCGATATAAAAATTATGGATTTTACTATTAAAAACGTAATCGGGATGAAAAACATTGATTGCATCTGTAGCATCTTTGCCAACCAAATTAATAATTGCAAGCTCACCACCGGGGTGATGCTTTATCCATTTATTAAGTTTATAAACTTTATTGTTATATATTATTAGTATTTGTCCATTTTGAACGCGTTTTTCAACTTCTTGTTTTGTAAGGTAATTCCGTTGAACACTTTTGACATCAACCGGAGACTTTGTCATTTCATTACTCAAGGTGAGATGAGTATTGCCAAGTTAATATTTGTGAAGAGTCAATATTTGTTAACTTTTTAACTTTTACTATTGACATGAAAAAAGTGTCGAGATATAAGAAAAAAAAAAAAAAAAAAGCCACACTCCATCAATTTATATGTTTACGTATGGCTCAGCGCACAAAAATTATCAAGATTAAATAGATCCGTGATCTTAAAACGATAATTTATCTTTTTTTAGTACTAAATGGCTTTGCATATGGAGTTATCAAATAAAACTTGCTCAAATTTTCACATATCTATGCTGTGTTAGGTTTTCTTCGTATATCCGTTGTGTATCATATGAAATGATAATCGAAGATCCGCGCGCGTAACATCAGTAAACTAAAGATGACATTTAAAGTAAGTAAGTGATTATTTAATTTTTATCATGTTCTCGTGTATTTTGATTTTATTTTAAAGTTTATATTATTTATATTCTTGTTTATTATATATACTTTATTATCGTTATCAATTAATTTAACGTCCCCCCTCCCCCCTCGATTATCATACTATTTTGATCGGAATAATTTCAAATTATCGCGAATTTAGAAATGATTCTCTAATTGCTACACTTGTGACGGATTAAGATTAAAAATGAGTGATAGGCAAGCCACCGAAAATACAAATTTTAGGGTGCATTTCTTAGAGTTAGGATTGGGTTTTAGGACAAAATTTATAATAAGTGAGTTTTGAGAGGTCAAATAGAAACCACCCATTTCATTTTAATCCGATTTCATTACGATCTGCGACAAAATCTGGATATAGCGAAAATAATGCGAATAACATATACACCAAAATATATTAAAAATATCTTTATATAGTCACCATTACATTATTATCACCATTATAGTGCACTCCGATCATTTCATACATCACACACATTACACGGTGTTACTATTTGTATTGGGAGAACGAATGCACAATTTAGACAATTTAGCTCTGATGGTTAGAAGCTTGTGGAGAATATTAATACTACAATAAGGGAAAGAATAATTATAGAATTAATATATAGTAATTCCTATTCTCCCATCGAAATATCTCTTATAATCCGTTTTTTTTAAACCTTTACGCATTTATATTCATATACTAACGGATCTTGAACGAATGCGCTTTTATATTCAAATAATAATCCCTGATTATCGGTATCAGATTAAGTTGTAACAAGCAATCCGATAACATAATCACTATTCATTATTAGATCAGAGAAAGCCTTATGTTGAAACTAGTTTCGGCTTAGCCGAAATAACCTTGGCTACATATATAATCCCTACCTGATCATTGTCTATATAGATAATTATGAATATTCATAAGTGTTATAAATATCAAATAACATATTCAAATATTTATAATTCTTTATTCGAATATATTTATGAATATAGTCTGCCCGTATATCCACATGCCTCTATTATGATTGATTGCACCGGACATATAAAAGTTACCGTTCATAGTATAAAAATGTTACGTCACAATTCTTCAATATAATAAATCTAACGACCATTAGATCCAGAATATAAAGTTGAACAAAAACGAAAATTAAAACTTCCTATTCTATGATTTTTGCTATCATCTGCTTTTGACGATAAATAAACAAAAAAAAACTAGGTTCAAGATATTATCACAAGATCACATTCTACGGGTAACAATACCGAACACCGAACTATCACTAATTATAAGTGAAAGTGTTAAGCTTATTGGATAATAAAGTGTTTGCATATATGTTTCAAAATTCATACCAATACATAATAAATAGGTTATCGGTTATTTGGAACAATGTGGGCTACAAGAAAAAAAAATTTTTTTTAAAAAGACAAAAATTATGAATACACATGATAATTATTGAATACTTACATCTTAAAGGGCATGCTACAGGAGTTTTATCTTCTACTATAACTTCATGAAGTTTGCGTTGAAAATGATATTTGATTTTTAGTTGTTTGCGTTCACCCATACATGGATCATAAAATCCAATGATATTCGACTGCAAAATATAAGTATGTTATCCTACGACAAGGACAATTATTATCTAATATATAAACAATTTACCTTAGAACAGCCTCCGGGAATGATTAATTGTGATTCAAATACCAGTGCCTGAATCGGTATTTTGACATCAATAACGTCTTCATAATGATTTTCTGCCGAAGCCTCTTTTATATGTGAAAAATTGCCGTACCAGGCCTCTAGGATGATAAGACCGTTATCCTTCGTCATTTCAGCCTCTACCTTACGTTCTACGGAAGGCTGTAAAAGTCTTATGGCCTCTTCGGCCTCACGTTTACGAGTAGAAATGAATTCTGCATGGCGTTCGCGAAGAATGGCTAATTTCCTAAATAAAACTCTCTTATGCGTTTGTCTCGCAAAACATGTGTTTACAAATGAGTATAAACGTTTGATTCATACTTAGCTGCCTTCTTCTTGCGTCTTGGTCCTAAAATTATTTGTTCAACAGCGACAATTGTTATCACGGGTAACAAAGTCCCCCATAATGCAATGTTGAAGTTATATTCTGACGATACATGAATTGGAACTGTAATCCTTTGTCCTAAACGAGATAACCTGAGATAATAAAACACACACACAAAAAGAAAGAAAAAACGCCAACATAGTTTTAACTTTTCTCCAACGAACTATTAACATCCTTAAATTACTTACAAGATATATATTATTCGAACAATTATAGATCACCTGCATCTAAGAGTGATCCCACCAGGGATTCCGAACTCCATAGCCATCGCCAACTTTGTGTTCTCCGCAACCTTGCGTTCACCAAGGAGAATTGCAGTAAGACCGCTATTAATTAATAAATTTTTAAAAATCAATTCAGATTTAACGAATAATACAACATACGAATTATTTTCATACCTCGATGTTGATAAAGTAGTTACTGCTCTGATTTGATAAATATCGAATAATTTGCGATTGTAATTTGCCGAAATATATGAATGCGCCAAACCGGTCTTTGAAATAAATCGCAAATTTAAAACTTTGATCGATATGACAAAACGTATGCCTAACATAAGAGAGTTATCACATGCCTGGATTTCCAAACCATATCCGGACTTTTCCATGGAACTATTAATTCCAATAGCTACTGATGACCTTTCACGACGAGAATAAGATTCATTTTGGCCCCAAGGGCCCAAGGCCCACGCACCAGTTTTGTATGAAAGGTATCCAGATGTATTTTCGCCGAGACGTCGACCAGCCGTAAAAGATAAAATTGGTGGAGAACTGATCGTTTGAGATTGCGCAGTCACTGTAAAAAAACTATTATAAAAAAAGACAAAAACAATAAGCATATTTATATATTAACCTTACCAAAGTTAATGGTTACGATAGAGTTTGGAACCGATTTTATTTTTCTTACATCAAACCAGATTGAACTGAGTTTATAAACCGGTTTCAAACCCTAATATACGATTAAGATATTTAGTACATACCCATTAGAGCCAAAACTATAATTTGCTTTTGCAGTCGTGATTCTTGGTTGAACTACCGAAGATCCGACCTAATACGACGAGTTCGGCCAGCTTTTTCAACAAACTTGTAGGAAAAATATTTATGAATAAATGCGTGGTATCATTTTCAACATACTTCGGCCCAAAAGTGCGGCGAAAATGTGTGTCGTATGCTTCCGACAATATTCCCACCACCAACTCCATTTCTTAGAATAGTTTGTCCAACGACGAAGCCTTGTGTTTGCGGTTTTAATTGGGTCTTGAAAATATATATATGTAAATAAAATATTCTCGAACGCGCGTTGTATCTTGCAGAATGAAGAACGCCTTACTTCAAATGAATGCTTCATAAATAATTGGGTGATCTCAATTTTTTCAAAAATACTTGAAGGACTAATTATATTTTCGCGTCGATGGGATACGCCATCGTACGGATCAAATAACTGAGTTGCATCAATACTCAGCTGAATGTCACCCTAATATTATTAATGAGAAAAAGTCTAGTTCATTCAAACCAAAAAAAAATTATATATCATTGAATTGAGATAATAATACTTTTGATTTCACGAGATTTTCTATTTCATGCTCTTTCTTTAATTTTGCTTGCCTTTCAAATTCTTCTCTTAACTAAACATATGCATTTTAAAGCATCATTAAAATATTAAGTTGAATGATAAATTTAAAGAAACTTAAAGTAGTCGTGACCAACTTCTTGTGGAGTTTTCAACCGGGTCCCGACTTCCCATGAGGTGTTTAATCCTTCTTCTCCAAACATATCATATATTGTTCTCTTGGTAGGATCCGTTAAGACTGTCATGTATATTTAGAATTGTAAGCAATAATTGAACGCCGCAAGAACCTAAATAATTAACACTTACCTTCATATGCTCGCTGTATCACTTGAAATTTGGTTTCAGCAGCTCTCTTATTTTCCGGATCTACGTGTTTATCCGGATGAAATGTTCTGCACAAACGCTTATATGATTCCTTAATCTGTTCGTCTGTTGCCTATTAATTCGTAAATAAATTAATATACTGCATAACTTTCACAATTTCTGCATAATCAAAATTTTTTAACAAACCGATACCTCTTTGGGCACGTTCAATACTCCGTAAAGATCTATCGCTGGTGGGTTCAAGGAATCTTGCATTTCGTCGGAAAACTCTTCTGAAAACGTATCGTCAATTGGCGGAGTTGGTGATCTGCTGTTTTGCTCGTAAGAATCCATTTTGAGCACTACTTAAAGAGATTTTTTTTTTTTTTTTTATTGACAGACACAATATTAAGATAAAAAAAAAAAATCTTCGGATAATGTACAGGTAAGACTGTCAAATATGAAGGTCGGCAAAGTTTGAAAATATAAATTTTGTATGTTATACCGATATTAGGATAACAGGAGGGAACGTTGTTGTTACACAACTGATTTTACACACGGTGTGAAACACATAAAAAAATGATTTTACAAT